TCACGTGCTAGGCGGTGAAGGAGATCATCGCTAGTAGGCCTACATATTCTTGAAATAATAACAAGAAAGCATTACAAGAAGATATGTGAAGTTTACCAATTAGCAGCGGTAGACCGTCTGTCTGTACTGTAGAGGTCTTTGCTGACGGGTCTAAATTGTCGCATTAAAGAGTGGCTTGTTCTACGCAATCCAGATGGGGGCACAATAAATTTACGTTTGTTCCTGGTGTTTATATCATGCACATCACTATTTCTTGCTTCGATTAGAAGAATCGACTCCGCGGGCGAATGAGACCATTATCCATGCATAGTTATCGGACGAGCAGTTAGCACAAAGAATGAAACAAAACACAGCCGAATGTGGGAGTTAATGTTATTATGGTAAGGTCACTTTTTGCTCCGTGACCGCAAAATGTGGCTGTAAAATATTCGAGTGGGCAAATCGGTGATAAAATTGGACCCGAATTAATTTAATAAATGAACAAGTTTTCGGACCATTACTATTTAAATGGGGATAGCGTTGTTGCGTCATTGTACTCGTTTCAAAACTCGCATTGCCCGTCGGGTTTAAATTCACGTTACCTGGATGACCGAGCCTCGGTTTTTTTCTCAAAAAAAAAAAAAGACCTATAAAAAAGGTAAAGAATAAATAAAAATGAAAAAATAATCTGGACTCGAACTCGGGGTCTTCTGGTTTCGGGACCGCCCGATTTCCAACCGGAGCTAGTGTAACCTCGTAGATGGAGGCGAAATTTACCTTCGTATTCTAATATTGTAGCAGTTTTTCATTGCCTCAAAAAAGGATAAAACGATTTTTCTACAAATGATACGTAGATAGATCGATTTATCTCCCACGAAACCGCCTGTATGCTTAATTTCAAGAAAATCGTTAGAGTCGTTTCCGAGATTCAGATTATATACTTACACAAATAAAAGAATTGCTCATTTAATGGTATTAGATTAAATAAATTAGATAGATATACAGATTAGTAATATTATCGCACTATAATGACTCTTCCTTTAGAAATGTGGAAAGCGGAAAACTTGATGCCATATCCAGTTTGTTCATGACATCGCGAGCCCGACACGTGACAATTATTTTGTAGGTCACGCACATCATTATTGCTCGTGTGTGTTCGTATTCGTATGCAACTGCCATTGGAAAGGCTCTAAGATGCTGCTTGCACACAATACAAAGGGACAGTCAGTGTGATATTCAAAAAACGGGGACAATGGACAGACAGCTGAACTGTTGCCCGTTTAGATTTTATCGCCCGCTACGTTTTTAGGGTTCCGTACCCAAAGGGTAAAACGGGACCCTATTACTATCACTCCGCTGTCTGTCTGTCTGTCCGTCTACCACCAGTCTGTAATCTCGTGAACCGCGATACTTAGACAGTTGAAATTTCCACAGATGATGTATTTCTGTTGCCGCTATAACAACAAATACTAAAGAATAAAACAAAAGAATATTTAAGTGGGGCTCTCATACAGAAGACTGTTTTTATAGATAATTCAGTCCGACTCGCACTTGGCCAGTTTCTTCATCCACCTTCCCCCTCACTCCTTGATGCTAAGCAAGAGGAAACTAAAAATTAGATTGTTTTTATAAGGGTCCCTAACGTGGGCCGAGCGACTTTATACAGAAATTATAAAAACTCAAGGCTCGTTGCAATATTTAGTCAAACGAGACCCTCGGCCTTTAAATAGAACTAGATACCTGTAGAACTAGAGCTCCAGATACACATATCTTTCTTTAACAAAACTCTGTGGCGAAGCTCAGCTTTAGTTCCATTAATTCCGTTTATAAATTCGCTTTGCGGGAACTTTATCTTTGCACGTGGAAAGGTCCATAAATCATAATCCGTGAGTTATGGACGCAAGTAATGCTGAAACAATGCGAAACAAATAAGCGAATCCTCGTGGATTATGGGAGCGTAAATAAAACTGGCGTAGAAAGATTCTTCAAACAATAATTTAAGCTAGCGTATTCAAAGCATTCATTCATTCATGCCCTTTGGTGTGCTCTCCCTAAATAGCGCTTACCTGAACCTTAAATACAATTCCGCGTAAATTAAGTCTTAAACACGCGCCATTTCTTCCTTTGTTAGAACCGCGGGGAAAAAGGAACCTTATTTTTTTTAGCGACGGTACATTGTGTTTAGTACTTTTCTAAGTTAAATTTACTCATTTATTGCCTCGCACTGATGAATGAAAATGCGGCCGGTGTTAGAAGATATCCTTCACCATCTGTCGCGTTTTGGTTGTTATCGGTTGGTCATTCAATTTATAAATTTTAGATAACAACATCCCATTACAATAGTAACTAAGGTATCCCGTATAATTACTTTGTAGTTAAAATCGTAACGTCTCCAAAACTCCAACTTAAACCAGCATCATCATAGCTATGTAGACATCCAGATATAAATTACAAGAATAATAATGATCATTAATTTACTATTTTTATCCATGCCTGTCTTCGAGTGATCGTTTTCAAGATGAACTTGTTTTTGCTCTTGACGTATTCAGTATATATCCCGTATGTTTTTGCGTCCTGAACTTTCACTGGAAGTTGAAATCCTTTTTTAGGCCGGTCTGCACGAAGCTATTGAAATGAATTTACGTACAAACTTCCGCCTTTATAATACACATTAGTGTAACATCTACGAACCGGAAGGGTATACGCGCCCATTTTAATGTGGCTGAGTCGCTTGTACGGCGCTGATTTCTGAATCTAGACTCTATACGCACGTATTATGGACGGTTTTCCCGCGGCAATAAAGCGGCTCGCAGGCTCCGGTTGGATATTTTAATCGCAGCCCCGAAATGTAATGGTGACTTCTGAAACGATCTATCAACTATTTATCAGGTCGTCACATTGCCGATGCAGCCGACGCCGAAAATCGATATTCTCGATATTTGCTCGTCCCGTTTTGTAATGGGGCCCGCGCCCCCGCTGGCTCGGACTTTGGACCTGTTTACCCACCTTAACCAAATTTATTGTAATACCTTGGTCGGATAACGCATTTCCATAATGCTGTTCTCGGACTATATGCATACAAAGGAGCACGGAGAGCTGTTTTTAGTGTATGTTGTTGGGTGCGGTTTGCAAAGGAAAAGGAATCACATAAACATGCTACACGCATTTTGTTTAATTTGTTACGTTTAGGGAGGCCACTTAGCCTGGTTACTCGCTTACACATCCGGGAGCTTACGTGATTAGTTGAAAATTAGCTATTCATATTTACTTCATAACTTCATCGCTAACAATGTGCTTAACTTAACTCTTAAACCTGCCGTCTAAAGAGTTAAAGGCGAATTATAAGGTCGCCGCTAACACCAAACGTCCGTAATTTATGATGTTTTACCACGAAGCTCATAGCAGCATATCAAAATCTCTTTGCGCACATTAAGCATTTCATTTCATTTTTATTTGTTGGATGTTTCTCTATCGATTTTAAAGGCTGTCTCTCTCGTACTCCATCGTATACGGAGCCCACAGAAGGAACAGCTACCAAGAGGTCTCTACGACTGTAGCCAATACGGTTTTTCTGTTCTAATGCATTGCCGGAAGGTACAAACCGCATAAAAGCCGGCGTACCCTGTCTACGAAGTTGATTGCGCTACCGTAATAGAAACAACTGTGTCTCGAATTAAATAACTTGGAGGTTAGATTTCGTCACAAATGTCTGCGTTGTCAATATTTGAAAGGGTTTTAAGGGTATATAGTAAAACCTCACGATTTACGATACAGGAACATGCTTATTCTTCATTTTACCTCGGTGTTTTGTGAATTGAAAGACCATGTTATGTATTATAGAATATTTTTACGACTTTATTGAGTTTAATTTAAAGGTAAACATTACGAACATATTACGAATTATTTTGGTCGCGGGACTCACTGTGACTTTTTAATAGTGTTAGCGAAGACACAACCAAATAAGTAAAGCGACAGCCTATACATGTCCCACTGCTGGGCAAAGACCTTCTTTGTACAGAGGGTATTATTAGGGCATATGACTCCACTGCGGATTGGCAGACTCCACGTGTGCGGGATAACTTAGTTTAATAGTGTTTGTATAAGTAATTTACTTTTTAATTCATGTAACGTAAGTCGAAATAATTGCTTAAAAACTTGCTTAAAACTTGCTTATTTTAGATTGCCTATAAAAATATCTGTATAATGAAATACTATAAGATTTTAATTGTATAACTGGTTTTATATGACTATTAACACATATGTTGTAAAATTAGTACGATAAAATAATTAGGGAAAAAGTGTATTTTCATAGTGCTATCGTAATTATTTAAATTTAATTATTTGTAATATAGTCATAAGACCTCGAATTCTTTAAGGTAACGCACCAAGAGGGTGCCAAAGAAAAAATGTAAGCTCTCTGATTGGATACCAATACGACAACCAATCAGAGAGCAGGAATTAATTCCCACAGGATCACATAAATATAGCGGCGTTTCGGGGCATCATCGCAGTCGACGAGCATCAAGATCTACCAGTGGAACAAGCAACTAGAAGAAGTCAGCAAGAAAGAAGCCCTGCAGCCTGGAAGAGTAGGAGCCTGCAGCCACTAGAAGAACGTTTTATTGCATAAGAAAAAACTTGTACAAACGCCTGAAAATAAACAGTGTTCTTTCTGTCTTCACGACATTCTTGTTTCTTTACCAATCCAGCACACTGAAACGTACATTGCGCACACCACGTGTCTTCGAAATATTTTTTATTTATTTCGAATATATGCAGTTGTCCTCACGATATGATGATAACGTAGGTAGATAGCATTTAAAATCACGGAATCGAAACCTGAGAAGTTCCCGAGGATCGAACTCAGGCTGCTAGAGTATATGACTGAGCTATCACGGCCCGCTAGCGAACACGCAACTTCAATCTAAAATTAACACATCATGTTTGTAACAACGGAGGGCGAATGGTTAAAATAATGTGTTTAAGTCTGTTGTCTGCCGGGGCCCTAAGCGGCTGCGTCATGCCATCTCTGTTTCACGAGTGCCGCACCTGTCGGCCAGCTGTTGTTGCACGTGGGCATCGGAGAGCCCGCCCGCTGCCACCCTTATCTGATACAGCGCCGCTGGCCCGAATCCATTCGGAACAGACGACGCGACTCGAAAACCTGCCCACTTGACAAGGCGAGTGCTTGCCGTGAATCGTCCGCTTCATCCAAACAGCGTGGCCGAGAGGGATGCACTAATATAGTGCCAGGTTCGAGAAGTGGCGGGTAGTTGCCGGTCCACCCGATCATAAGCAGCCGTTGCACAAAGACGCACGAAAAAATACACACTTAACGTAGTGACGTTAACGAAGGCAGTTTCCCTTGACTGACATGATATTGGCAGAATTCTTTTAAGAGAAGCCATTTATTAAAGAAAGAGGAAGAAGACGAAATACGGTTGAAAATAATAAGCTGGCCGTTTATGTTCTACTCTTCACCGATGCCTCATTGTCGTCACCGATTCACAGGGATTGTAGTATTACATGTTAAGATGCATGGCCGGGAATTCCTCCTATAGTTATTTTAGTGTTGCATACATAGTATAAAACAAAGTCGTCCCGCCGTCTGTCTGTCCCTATATATGTTTAGATCTTTAAAACCTCGCAACGGATTTTGATGCGGTTTTCTTTAATAGATAGATTGATTCAAGAGGAAACAATTATTCATAATATAGTAGACAAACACTGATAATTTTAGAGGTTTCCAATGCGATTTCGAAAACAAACATTCAGCATTGCACCCGTGCGAAGCCGGGGCGGGTCGCCAGTCCTATTATAATAGAGGTTTTTATATCAGATTGAGTTGTGAACCCTTTAAGGTCAGTCGCATTGTGCGCTTGTATCCCGCCACTAATCTGTCAACACTTTTCGACACCACCGCTCGCGATCCGAGCTATTCACGTGAGATCAGTAATTAAAAATTAACACGGGTACCTTAATGATGCGCACATGCCACAATACCTGACGGCGCGCCCAATTCTACATGTAGTTTTAACGGTGGTAGGGCCACGCAGCAGCCTCGGCTATTGCACAAATGGGCAGGCCCGTCCGGGTAAGTACCACGACCTCAAAGAAGACCAGCGTAAAGTGGAAGTACCACAAATACTTTCGCGTTTCGTCTGGTGAGTGAGGTAGCCGGAGCCCAATTTTCAAAAGGTTGTCAACGCATCTAATCCTCGGGTATAGCAGATGTCCATGGGCTGCGGAATTCACTTACCATCAGGTGAACCGTCTGCTCGTTTGGCAACTTTTCACATAAAAATAAAAAAATAAAATGTTGTTGATATTTACAACCAAGATCCAACTGACCAGTGATAGCCGTGCGTGGCCTCGGTCAACATTTGCCCAAGATCCTACTGTCCCTCTACCGGCGAAAAGTTGTCCCACGAAGGTTTTCTTGTTAATTGCGAGGTCTTGAATTCTCAGCCTTTCCAGAAGCGAATCGAGTCAGTATATTATTTCACTTTACGATTACATTTCTGTACATATATATAACCTAGTATTATTCAGCGGCATATAATAGTAACTCCACATTCGTAATAATTATTTTTCATACACCATTAAAATCGCAAGTAAAAATTCTACACAATAGTGTAAAGCATTAAGACATTACCTATGACGCTTAATTAATAAAATATACAATCGTATATGACATCATAATCAATAATGATTCACTCAACGCCTCTCCTCTAAAATTTGTGTGTGGTCACATTACCTTCGATTTACAGATTTGTTTTTTTACTGGAACGTATAAACTTGCCATTCAGTGTCCGACACATAATAAATAGTTTCGTGAGCAATCAGTGTCTCCGCACTTCGCCGACTCGGCCTCTAGATGCAGATCTAGAGATGCGCCTGTCCGGGTACCCGTCTGTGAACCGAGCAGTCTACTTCCGTTCTATTCGTGTACTATTGCAGTTGTACTCACCGCGGTGAGAACGTTCAGCTCCCCCAGCCACTCGTTGAGCAGTGCCTCGGGGTCTTCCCCGGCACCCGCACCAGCCTCCTCCACTAACGCCATCTGCAACACAAACGCACATGCTATAGGAATCTTTCGAATCTCTACGTTAAACATAATCTAATATGATATAATATAATCTAATAGCTAACAATATGAAGGGCTAGCGCACTGCCCTAATATCGCTTAGATATAAGTGTTAAGCAGGAATCAGATGATTCCCGGTCTTATTATTAATGATAGTTTATTTAAACGACCAATACAAAAAAGTACCATGGCAGAAGTCGATACAACTTCGCTACATAGTATAAAACAAAGTGGTCCCGTTGTGTGTCTGTCCCTATGTATACTTAGATCTTTAAAACTGCGCAACGGATCTTGATGCGATTTTTTTTAATTGATAGATTAATTCAAGAGGAAGCTTTATATGTATAATACACTGAACCCGTGCGAAGCCGGGGCGGGTTGCTAGTATTTTGTAAGACATAGATACGGATCTATTTCTCTATCGTATCTTAGTATGAGGCATTTGTACAGCAATATGGCAAAGAGTCTGTACTCTACATTTCTTGTATAAAGCATTGCAAGCAGTGATTGCGTATTAGAATGGAAGACTGGCAATCACGTTAAATACACTTCCTTGTACCCTTTTTATGCCCAATAATATGTTTTTGCTGCATCCCCCTATAACGCCATAGAATATATAACGTGCATTAGGGTCTTGTAAATAAAAATACTGTTTGGCCCTGCGACAAATTGATCGAGCTGAAAAGGTTAACTTTCTTTAGAGCTAACCTCTCACTACGAGGAGACTCTCAATTCAGTTGTTACCCCAGAACTCTATCATTTATGAACCGATTTTCATCATCATTTCAGCCTGTTTGAGTCCACTGCTGAACATAGGCCTCCCCCACAGACTGCCACGAAGTACGATCCTGAGCCACCTGCATCTATCGACTTCCCGCACATTTGCACAGGTCGTCACTCCATCTAGTGGGGGGTCGTCCTACACTGCGATGGCCAGTACGAGGCTGCCACTCGAGAACCTTTCTTCCCCAACGGTTATCGGTTCTACGAGCTATATGGCCGGCCCATCGCCACTTCAGCTTGCTAATCCTCTGAGCTATGTCGGTTACCTTGGTTCTACTGCGGATGTCTTCGTTACGAACTCTATCACGCAGAGAAATACCGGGCATAGCCCGCTCCATAGCTCGCTGAGCGACTTTTAGCTTCCTCATACGACCAGCAGTGAAGGACCATGTCTCGGTTCCGTAGGTCATCACTAGCAACACACATTGATTGAAGACTTTAGTCTTCAAACATTGAGGTATATTCGACGAGAAGATTTGCCGAAGTTTCCCGAACGCTGCCCATCCGAGTTGGATTCGCCGATTGACCTCTGCGTCGAAGTTGGACTTACCTAGCCGGACTAACTGTCCTAGGTAAACGTACTCGTCAACAACTTCGAGCTCAGTGCTCCCAACGACAACCGGTATAGGCGTGACATGGACATTAGACATGATCTTCGTCTTGTCCATGTTCATCTTAAGGCCCACCCGTTGGGAGACACTGTTGAGGTCATTGAGCATAGCACCCAGGTCCTCCAGCGATTCTGCCATGATGACTATATCGTCGGCAAATCGAAGGTGGGTGATGTATTCGCCATTGATGTTAATACCTCGTCCTTTCCAGTCCAGAAGCTTGAAAACATCTTCCAACGCAGCGGTGAAGAGTTTCGGGGATATGACATCACCCTGTCTTACACCCTTCTGCAGATGGATAGGTTTTGTACTACTGGACTGTACTTGGACGGACATCGTAGCCTTGTTATACAAACACCTCAGCACTTCAATGTACCGATAGTCAATTTGGCACCGCTGAAGAGCCTGGAGTACCGCCCAAATTTCGACAGAATCGAAGGCTTTCTCATAGTCCACATACGCTAGGCACAAAGGCAGATTATACTCTTCGGTCTTCTGTATAACCTGCCGCAAGGTGTGTATGTGGTCTATGGTACTGAAGCCTTTCCGGAATCCGGCTTGTTCGGGAGGCTGGAAGTCGTCGAGTCTGGAAGCGAGACGATTCAAGATGACTCTTGAGAACAGCACATAGACGCGGCTCAGAAGGGATATCGGTCTATAGTTCTTCAAGAGAGCGTTATCGCCTTTCTTGAAGAACAGCACCACCACACTTCTGCTCCACGTCTCTGGTGTAGCACCACCCTGAAGGACGAAATTAAAGAGCCTCTGAAGGACTACAAGTACCGGTTCTCCACCCGCTTTCAGAAGCTCTGCTGTAATTCCGTCCTCTCCCGATGCTTTGCCATTCTGAAGATGGTCGAGAGCCATTCTAATCTCGCTCAGACTGACGTCCGGGATATTCTCGGAATAGTGTCGGATAAGCTTTGCTCTTGGGTCGTAACTCACACATGTGTGTGGCTCCAACGACGATGTGTACAGCTGTCCATAGAACCTCTCAATCTCACTCAAAACCTCTGGTCTACTGGAGATGACAGCCCCGCTGTCAGTCTTCAACTTGGTCAGTTGGCTTTGTCCGATAAACAGAACTCTGGCGAAGACTTTTGAGCCTAGGTTCCGCTCTATAGCTCCCTCAATACGAGCTGTATTGAAGATGCGTAAGTCTCGCCGCATGCATTTGGAGATCTGCCTATTAAGCCGCCTGTAGTCTGACATGTCAGCTAAAGACTGCAGTCGCATCTCACGTCTTTTTCCCAAGAGGTTAAGAGTGTGATCGGAGAGTTTTTGCGTTCTATTTGTGCGGCGGGCCTTATAAAATTTAAGGCCCACAGCATGGATAGTTTCCACGAGCTTAGCGTTAATATCGTCCACAGTGCTGCAATTTTCTAGGCATTGGAAGCGATTATGTAGCTCGAGCCGAAAGCTTTCGGAATTCTGGATATGGGCACGAGATGGTCGGAGTGTGGACTTCATTAGACGAGATCTTTCCAGCCTGATATTAATATTCAATTTGCCTCTCACCAATCGGTGATCACTGCCGGTCTTCACCCTTGTGATCACAGAGACATCATTGAATATTTGCCGTTTGTTCGTCATAATGAAGTCTATCTCGTTTTTTACAGAACCATCGGGGCTAATCCAGGTCCACTTTCTGTGGGGCTGCTTTTTGAAGAAAGAGTTCATCATAAAGAGTCCCTCCTTCTCCATAAAGTCAGCCAGCTGCTGCCCCCTTGGGTTCCGTTGCCCTATACCAAAACTTCCTACTCTCAGCTCATCGTCTTTCCTTTTGCCTAGTTTTGCGTTGAAGTCTCCCATTAACACCATGTATTGAGTTTTGGAGGAATGTATGGCTCGTGATATATCCTCATACATTGCCTCCACCTCATCATCGGGATGTGTCGACGTTGGTGCGTAGACCTGTATGACCTTCAGCGAATACCGTTTGGATATTCTGAGTATAAGGTACGCAACCCTCGACGACACACCCTCGATTTTAACAACGTTGTTAATGAGAGACTTGTGGACGATAAATCCGACACCTCCTTGGGACAGTTGGTCGCCCTCCCGGTGGTAAAACAGGTTGCCAGATTCGAGGATGATCGTGTCCTCCCCCTGTCTTCGGACTTCAGATAATCCTATTATATCCCAGCGCAGCCTGTTCACCTCTCCTTCCAGCTCTGTAATCTTCTCGTCAGTCCTCAATGTTCTTGCGTTGTATGTTGCCAGGTCCAGTCGCCGTCGTTGGTAGCCGAATCCTAGCCGGGGATTCTTCTTAGCACCCCCTGCCCTGCCGTTACCATGACCGCTACCGTAGCCAGGAATAGCAGGGCCGCCGGGGACTGGGGGCCGTACACCTTGGACTTCCATACATGAGGGGTTTTTGCCATAGTTGCCACGCTTGGCGAGCGGGTTGGCAACCGCAGTTCTTCCAGACACCTCGCACCTTCAACGCTGCTGCCCGTTATTGGCCTGGATATTTGGGTCTGGAGAGTTAAGATGGTTATCCCGCCATCTATCGGAGGCCACTGGATGTTTGTGGCTTATCCCTTAGTCGCCTCTTACGACACCCACGGGATGAGATGGGGTGGCTTATTCTTACGCCGACACCACACGGCACCGATTTTAATAATTGTTTTTGCATTGGATACGATTTAGGCCCCACGTGGTCTCATATTAATTTTATTGACACATCATGAAAATCCTGAAATCGAATATATCTAATAAATATATATAATGAAAGAGATGTTTGGAGGCGATTTTGTTTAAAGTTATTTAAAAATATTTTTGTAATACAAAATATTGGACATAACTATAAAAGAATCCATTAAACTGTTTGTTTAACTTTAACTACAAAAACCAAATTGCGATATTGACATTTGTCTGTTTAAATTTGGTATTAGGCGGAAAACAGTGAACAGCATCAAGTCCTGTGAATAATACATATTGTTTTAAATAATTTAATTTTTACTTTTTGTTAGATAATTTTAACACTTAATAACATATATTTATGTTCGGCGTGACTATATTTTTGAAGCATTTTAATATAATATAAAGTCTCTTACAGTCGCGTAGCTAGTTTGAATCCACGACTTTACAACGATGCGGTATATGTTTAACTACTGTACTTCCTAGGATACTAAATCCTTAAAACAGTCGCACCCCTATAACATTCCGACCCCTCTATTGCAAAGGGTTGTTTCGAGCGTTCAATATTCTAACGTGACTCGTTATGTGAACTTCAAGTCTCGTAAAGAGGCAAAATTTGTATTTTTTGTGGTTCGTATGGAGTAGAAAATCTCTGTTATCAATGAAGACGTATTTTAGGGATCTAAACCCAAGTGAAAATACGTAAAATCACAGAATTACATAAATATTTGTTTAAGTAATACTATTCATCTATTTTCCATATCTTAATATTTGTATGCAGAGTACAAAAAAAGGACACCAATGAACAAATATGTGCTTGTTGTTTGTTAAACTACGATAAGGTGTGTCGTTTTAAAAGCGTATTTTTTATATTTGTAAATACTCAAATACTCTAATATAATGCGTATGATAATCCACCACGCAATTTAAACAAACAAACGAGCTAGTTCTGGAATGAAATTAGAAGAAATACAGCTTTGAAACGATCAAACTGAACCATATGCTTCTCACTTGATAATTCCAGTCGCCACCGAACAATCGACGGGCAAGCAGAGAGCTAATATGACGTCGCTTCTTAAAAAGCAACACAATAGTAGGGCCTGTTGATAACGTTATCTCTGACGGTCAACCGATCCGGCAAAGGTTGGTAGCACATCCCCCGATGCCCACGGAAGTGCAAGATAACGGGCGTTCCGTGCCTTTGAGCCATTACATAGAACTGTTCGACCCCGGCCGTGCTCCCTTTGTTACGATGCATACATCCAACATGTTTAAAAATGGCCCGTGAAATATTAATTCAGTATTCCTATGAACTATTAACTAATACTACATTTCGTTATTCCGTTCATACGTTCACTACCTATCTATCGTCTATCGTTTTGCTCTACTGCAGGGCAGTTACTAATAAAAACGATGTAAAATGTTAATGAACTCATTAACATTTTACATCGTTTGGATAAACTATGTATATGATAAGTGTGGAAATTTTCATACTTTTCGTAAAAAGATTAATTATATAATTGATAAAGTACAGTAAAGGCCTAAGGTTAAAGCATAATATTATACAATTACGGAATATGCAGGCTTTTCTAAGTGTATCCATTTTTTTTATTAAATTCTAGACATAAATAATGTTATATAAAAAATAATAAATATTTAAAATCACTCGTGAGTAATTAATTACATTCATTTGAACTTATCTCAAAGAGTGAGTGATTTATGCTATTTATGAACTAATTTATTTTACGCGAGATCATTCATAACTAACACGCACACAAGTTCGTTCACAATAGAATTTAGGTATTTTTGAATGACTACCGCATTGTCAACGCGTTCTGTTTTTTAGTGAATAGAACGGCATTTTTTTTGGAAAAAAACACTTTGTTTTTTATTACAATAAACGATTATACTACCGAGTCTGAACCTCCTGTGTAAATTTGGGCACTTCTTAAAAAGTCTCCCTGTAGACGACGCCTGAATAATATTGCCGCTCTCCTCACCAGTCTTACTGCGCGATACTGCCCGATGGGGCAAGGAGGCCGTCGAAAAGGGATTACTCTACTAGCTCAAGTTGCTCAGCTTGTCTGCATTTCGCACTGCCAAGCGTAACTCGTCGTACGAGCGAGTACTGCGAGAACAAAGGAACCAAAGCTGAGCTCTCGCCGCCGATGGCCACTGTAACGTTTCTACATGGGATGGTGTAGTTAATGATGGGGAGATTTAATAAAAGATTTATTAGCAGTTAAGAAGTTGTATTCATCCCTCCAGTTTAAAGTTACAATCCCTGGACTAGCTCAGATACAATATATTTTCAAACAGTACGTTTTTATTCAAGAAATAAATAAAAATAACCGGCAAGCGCGCACGTAGGCTTAATAATAATAATAATGGCGTAGGGAAGTGACGACCCCATCGCCCACCGGCGTAACAGTTCAAGTGACAGAACTGTTGCGCCGGCGCAATCAGTCAGTGCCTTGCCAATAGGTGTTTGCACCGTGCCTCGGCATAAGTGAGGGTGCATAGGCCCGTCTGTGCGTTCGGCCACACTACAGAAAACGGTGCCGGTCTGGGGGCGTCTTCCGTTAAA